CAATGGCCTCTAAAGGTGAGGGCTATGTTCCTATTTTATAATCAGGGAAACAGGCTTACATGGGCTGGGTGACCTGCCCAAGATCATACAGCTAACCAGTAGACTATCAGGAGATGAACACAATGTTCTACTCAAAGCCCAGCACTGTTTCTATACATTGTACCTGACACTTGCTAAGACCTAACATTTGCCCAGCTACTAGCTGGTGGGGAATATAAAGACCCAGTAAGACATGGTTCTTCCCCTTTGGCTGAGTAAGAAGCACAAGCCGCAGCTATCAATCTGAAATTGCATTTAAGCAAATAATAGAATGAGTAGAGACAATGAGGTCAGAGGAAAGAGAGATGCTTATTAGAGTGATGAAGTTGTTGTAGCATAGTAAAGCATACCATACATAGTATATTTTTTCTACTTTTTAAATATATATGATTTTGCTGCTTTAACTTTGGCAACTTATACAAAATGACAATCGTTATAAAAGCTAAATTCTCTAATTAAGCAAATTTAAACTGTCAGTTCATAGACTGTCTTTGAAGAAAGGTTGGAAATGTACAGAGACAAATGACAGAATATTTATAAGAAAGTTTTAATTCTTAAACTTTAGAAATCTTACAACTTCTCATGTTGCTTTTCAAAGTGGTCACATAATAATTTTGGCATGGGACAAATTTGGGGGTAAAATTATAGGGAACAAAACCCCTTCAAAATAAGAGATAGTATTAAAGGAGCACACGTGTCAATATTTCCATTGCCCCTCAGCACTATTCCCCAAGTCTGTTTTACTTGTCCAGTTTGGGACATTATGCATTTATTTATGCATTTGTCTCCATCAATCTGTGAACTGCTTGAGGGCTGTTCCCAGCACTAACACAGTGCCTGGCACAGACGAGATGCACAAAAATTGGTGAATTTGGTTGAGATGGATCTGAAATTAGACAGTCCAAACCCTGGCAACTCCTAAGCACCATTATCCTAAGATAAATTTTAGCCACTCAGACTACTGGAAAGTATTAAATATCTTAAATATTTTAATCAAGGCCAACAGTATGGCAAAAATGACTCACTGAGTGGAGGTCAGCAGTTGAAACAGAGGCCAAGGTCCAATCTCTTAGCACCACAAGAGTATTTCCATTGTCTGAATGGCCTCCTTTCTCCTAGTACATCTCACAGCTATGTAACCTCATTGCTAGGAACAAACAAAACATAATATTGCATAATTTAACAAGCATTTATTAATCTCCTACTGTGTCTCCAGTAGGATGCTAGTTACTAATGACACAGATATGAAAAAGAACCATCTTAATTGGTCAGGCAGTGTGCCAAGCACTGGGGACAGAACAGTTGACTTCTGTTCTTGTAAAATATAGATGGTATTTCACACTCTAATGGGAGGGAGAGATATGAATTGTGAGAGGTGCAATAGAATTGAACATAGAGGAGGGAACAGCTAATTCTGCCTCAACATGACCGGAAAAGCTCCATAGAAAAAGCAACATTTGAACTTGACCTTGAAATATGAGTAGGGTGTCCTAGCCAAATGAGGATGCCTTGTATATGTGCATTTGTGTTTGACACACACGCACACACACCTCTGCTTTATTTTTGCCCCCAATTAAAACTAGGAAGTTAATTAGGAAATAAAGACATTTACATTTAAAGTAACTTTAAAGAGCATAGCGTTAATTCTATCACATGGTTATTCTCTCAGAGAATATTTATCATTGGAAAATTAATTTATCAGTCACAGACTTTTTTAAGGAAAACAAAAACAAAGAAGCAGAAACAGTGATTTTTTTTTTTCCAACTTANGACAGAGAAGCCTGGCAGGCTATAGTCCATGGGATCACAAGAGTCAGACACGACTTAGCGACTAAACCACCACCAACCTTATCTCCAAACCTTTATGTATTATTTAAAATAATGACACTTGTGAATTATTTTAGCTAACCACAACTGATGAGTGTAGAACTCAAATATAGAAGACTGCCGTTTCTCAAAAGTGAAAAAGAGTGGCCTTATTAACAAATACAGATCTTAGCTTAGCTTTAATGCCTAGAAAAATACTGAGGCAAATCACTGATCAGCCAGTTTGTATTCATCTCTAGCAAACTGCAGAATGCAAAAACAAAACAAAAAGCAAAAATACAGCTTTGTAAATACAAATGAACATGAGCTTAATCACACATTAAGATGGAATGAATGTATTGACCCAATTTCCTGAATAATGACAATAATAGTTCTTATTATGATTATTTGCTCTAACATTTATGAGGGCTTAACATTTACTGAGCGTTTACCATGAGCCAGGCAGGATGCTGCATCTGAGCTGGTGGCTCAGTCCATGGGGTTGCAAGAAGTCAGACACGACTGAACATTTTCACTTTGACTATACTAAGTGAAAAAGAAAGTGAAAGTGAAGTCGCTCAGTTGTGTCCAACTCTTTGTGACCCCATGGACTGTAGCCTACCAGGCTCTTTCATCCATGGGGTTTTCCAGGCAAGAATACTGGAGTGGGTTGCCATTTGACTATACCAAGTACCTAACAATTACTTTCAAGTAGAGTGACTAAAGGCTAGGCCTGGTGCTAAGAACTCTACGTATTTTGTCTCATATAATACTATTGTTACAATTCACATTTCACAGATGAGGAAACTGCAGCTGAAAGAGTTTAAGTGATGTGCCCAAGATCAAGTCATAGGTCAGCTTTTAGGCTCAGACTTACTACCTCTTTAATGACTATGTCTGTTGGCAACCACGACTAGTAGTTCCTGCCTACATACTCCAGATGTCTGAATTTTAAGTTGTATCTAGCTTGATCATGGGCATTCACTTCAATCTATAACAGCTGGATAGAGGGCAGTCTTCCACATGATGTCATCCCCAAGTTGTTCAACAAAGACACTATTGTTAAGAGAGCCCACTGGGGTCAATTAAGCATTGAAGGGGAGAAAAGTGCTGTTTTGATTAAAAGAGAGAAAGGCCAGGGATTCTGTTTGAGAAGATTCTTCAGATTCATCTAAAGATGAGGATTCAGACTTTCTGATCCTGTGAAATGTACTATTAGATGATAATCAGACTCTTTTAGCATTTGGAATCCAATTTTACTTTGGTATGTTTCAACCTAAGCTCTAAGGCTTTAGGTCTAGTTTGGGATGGAATAGGGTTGTCTATTGTGAACCAATTCTGGGAAACTCAGTTTCATCTTAATTCATCCATAAGTCACAACACAACCTTTCTTTTTTTTTTTCTTTCTGCACAATTTCCTAATCAAAGCTTTTCTGGAGTGGGGCCAAGCACAGAACAGGTGCCAAACTAATAGCTCTTGAATGACTGGAGGAAGTGGCACAAAGGAATCCTAAATTATGAAGAGGAGTAAGTTATAAAGGAGGAGGATATTGCAAGCAGAGAAAGTAACATGTACAAAACTGAGCAATAAGAATTGTCTAGGGAACTCCAAGGGTCTGAACATAGCTGCAGTAAAGGTTGTGTGATAGAAAGATGGTACCCCTTAGTCACAACTAAGAGCCAGGATTCTGGGGCCTACTAGCTTTGGTTTGAATCCTGGTTCTACTTTTCACCAGCCGTGTGTCTTTGGTCAAGTTATGTAACCTCTCTGTGCCCATCTTATGGGGTGTTAGAAAGATTAAATGAGTCCCAGTGCAAGAAGTGCTTAGAACAGCACCTAGTACATAGCAAGTACTCAAATGTTCACTCCTGTTGTTATCATGTGGGTGAGTAGTCGGTGGTGGGAAAGGCAGGGGACAGGGCCTAGAGTTTCCTGTGTAAAAAGGAAAGCATTTATGCCAAAACAATTGAGAGTTTTTGAAGGTTTGAAAGAACTGGGGAGACACGATGTGGTTTGAATTTTAGAAGGGTGATTCTGGGATGGATTGAAAGGGACCACACTGAAGATGCGAAGATTAGTGAGGAGGCAGATGGAGTAATACAGATGAAAACAGTTAAAAACTTAAACTAGGTCAACCAGGAGCCAGGTGAGAGTTAGCTGGTCAAATCCAGAGGACTCAGTGCTGGACTGAGTTGGAGGGAGGCTGAATCTTGGTTACCAGGTGGAGACAAGTTGGGTGGGTGAGGACACCAGTCACTAAGAATGGGAACATCAGGAAAGAAGTGGATTTGGAGGGATGGGGAATTTAGTTCTGTACATGGTGTCTTTGATTTTAGACATGCTGAGTTTGAAGAGAAAAGCTAAGTCCCATTGCCTGGTAGGCAGTGGATAAACAGTTTGATACTTCAGAGAGAGATTGGAACTCTGTTAAGAACTCTCGCTAATGTATTAAGTAGAGTTTATACTTCTGGACCAAAGGACAATAATTTTTTGTTGGTTAAGATGCTGTCTATGTCTTGATTATAGATAGTGATATTTAAAAGATTAACTAAGCCCCATCTCGAACATGGTGAAGTTCAGAGATTCTTTTGATAATTCAATAATGTCATTTATTGTCACACAGTTGTGACTAAAACAAAGGCACAGTCAAGATCAAAGATAAATCATTGATTAGTTTATATTTTAAGGATGTTGTTAACTGATCTTTTTTGTAGTGCCTCACCTTTAACTGGGATATTTATATATTTTATATAGTCATTATTTAAATGTATGCTGCTGCTGCTGCTAAGTTGCTTTAGTCATGTTCAACTCTGTGCAACCCCACAGACGGCAGCCCACCAGGCTCCCCCGTCCCTGGGATTCTCCAGGCAAGAACACTGGAGTGGGTTTCCACTGCCTCCTTCTCCGATTTAAACGTATACATATGGGTATAAGTATTGTCTGTGTGTGTATAATGTGTTTGTAGTTTTACACTTTTCAGTCATTCAAAAATTTTATTATGCCTCTGCAATTTTTCAACTTTCCCCCATAGGTATCTCTGATGAATATATAACGCCTATGTTTAGCTTTTATAAAAGTGTTGCAGAATTGAAAATGACTCAAGAAGAGTATGCTCTGCTTACAGCAATTGTTATCCTCTCTCCAGGTAATTTCAATGTTATGTCTTTATTTTTATTCCATTTTTCGGTTTTCCTCTCAAGGATAGTAGGAATATTAAGGAAAATCTTGGATAAAAAACATGAAGAGAAAGTAAAATGGCCTATAATTCCATCACTCAAATTGAACCATTGTTAACATTTCAGTGTAGTTCTTCTCAGTGTTTTCTGAACATCATGCCCATTCATTTAATAATTGCATTTTGAACACATTTATACACTCAACATGTTTCGAGACATTGTGTGATACAGCAGCAAAGAAAAAGGCAGGATGTAGTTTACATTCTAGCAGAGTGAGAAAGACAATGAATAAAGAAACTAACAAAAAGAATTTTCAGGGAGTGATAATACTACAAAAAAATTAAGATGTCATATAAGGAAAGAAAGTGGCAGCAAAATGCTGTTATAATCAATAGCCAGGGAAGGCTTATCTAAAGGGTTGAAATTTGAGCGGGACATAAATGAAACTATATACTTTTTTTTTAACATAATAAAGAATATACTGTCTTTATACTTTCTCCATGTCATTAAAAATCATACTGGTAGAAGTTTGTTTCATTATGTACATCATGTTGTATGATGTATAATCATTTACTCAGTTGTTACTATGTTTGGATATTCAAGATGTTTCCAGATTTGTCATTGCTGTTGTTTTAGACAATTTTGAAATGAATCTCTGTACATAAAATTTGTCTATATTTTTTGATTAATTATTTGGGAATAAGTAATGTCATGTTCCTGATTTGGAAAGCTTAATTACAGTGTTAGCCTTAAACCATTTTAATATATGATACTGTGGCAGAAGCTATTAACAGTTGTTACTTTGTTTTACCATGAGAAATTATAATTTTAGAAAGAATGACCCAGAAATTCTACTCCTCAGAACATACTCACCACAAATGACACTTACGTCTATTCTTGGGGTTACCTTTTGGGTACATTTGTTACCAAGTCCAAGCTCATACTGCTCCCCACATGGTGATCTGAAAAATCAAGAGATGAGTTGTTAGGACAAGGAATAGCAACTTTCTCTGGAAAGCCAGCAGACTAGGATGGTGGACTAGTGTTCCAGAGAACCATCTCACCCAAGTTAGAATTCAGGCTTCTTTGATAATAAAATTGGAGGGGGTGTGGTTGGTTGCTGCAAACTTCTTGGTGCTGGAACCCTTTGTTCTGGCAGCTGTCCTGGTAGGTCTGGTTATAATGTTCCTATAAACCTCCAACAAGACAAATGTTATTCTCTGCTCTGCAACATTTTCTCTCTAAATGAATGGAAAAGTGTCCTACCTTTAAGGTCAGAGCCTTGAGAATGGGTTATTCTGTATATTTCAGGCTCCAGGCAACATTCTATTAAAAGTGCAGAGTCAAAATGACTAAGCACAACTAACAAAGCACACAGTTTAAAACCAGAGGAGAACCGTCAGTCTTTCCTGAACACGTTCATTGGAAGGAGAATTTAGGCAGGCCTCTGGGGGGCAGTAAAGGTTTTATAGCTTGATCTGGTTGTGATTACAGGAGTATATATACATGTGTGTAAAAATTCATCAATGTGAACACTTTGCCCGATTTAAGTGTACAGTATTTGTAAGTTACAGGTCAAAAAAAGTTAACCTTGCTGTAATTATGCCAAATTTTTACTTTTCCACTTCTTTTGTCCTTTTCTTTTGACCTTGAAAAACAGACAGACAATACATAAAGGACAGGGAGGCAGTAGAGAAGCTTCAGGAACCACTGCTTGATGTGCTACAGAAGTTATGTAAGATTCACCAGCCTGAAAATCCTCAACATTTTGCCTGTCTTCTGGGTCGCCTGACTGAGTTGAGGACATTCAACCATCACCACGCAGACATGCTTATGTCATGGAGAGTGAATGACCACAAGTTTACACCACTTCTCTGTGAAATCTGGGATGTGCAGTGATGAGCACTGCAGAGGCAGGGTCCAGCTCTTCATTTTCCTGATATAAATCTGATACATAACTTTCTTTTATTGCATTTGTACCTGGCTTCATGCCAGAATTTTCCTCTGTATTTATGTGGTAGTTATATAACCCTAACAATTGTAAATATGGGGCTAGATTGAAATACTGTCTCTACATTGTATTTTACAAAGCTTCAGGGAATTTTTCATTCAAATTGGCATGCCCTGTTTGCCAAATTAATCATTACTGTAAATCTGTTGAAATAGAGGAAACTCTCATTTTGTTCTTCATTTTACCTTATTGCATATATTTTATTAAAGAGTTGTGTTCAATTTGGGCAATAAACCGAACATAATGGCGACAGGCTTTTCTTTGGGAACAAAATTTGAAAAATATACAAACTTATTTCTTTAAATGATGAATGGCATCCTATTGAGTCTGAGGGGTAATTTCCAAAAAGATAAACTCTTACAACATAAATAGTGCTTTTCTCATCCCCGGAAGTCCTGGTGAATATTGATTGATTTGTGATAGCCCTTTGATAATTTTTTATTCTTCAAAGTTCACAGAGCATAGCATACAGAAGAGTTAATGATTCTCACATAAAATATTCCCTCAAGCAATTTATTTCCCTACTTACGGTCCTGAGGTGGCATTTACAAATTCAGAGTATGCAGATAACTCCAGTGATGGGACATTCCCTTTTCTCTCATAAAAGTGCCCTCTATTGGCATGTACTTACTCATTTTTCATTTATTTGTTTGTTTTGCTTTTGGAAAACACTCCTTCAGCTGGGTGCACAGCTGTGTATACTTCCCCTAAAGCAGGAATTAGTTCATTTCCTTCCTTCATTGTTATATTGTTGCATTCTCCTCCCCACCATCCTTCAGTAAATATAATAAAACACCTTCTGCAAGTAACGGGTTTACATGTCCCTTACTCCTGAAATCAGCCAAATTGGAGCTTGCTTAGCAGCAGAGTTTTTCATTTTAAAATGTTAAGGCAGTTCTTAAGTTCTAACAAAGGCTAGTCAGTAGAAAAAGGAGTGAGTTGGGGCTAACATTAGTTGGATTCCACTTGTTTCAACAAGAAAAAAGACTTGAGTCCCCACTAAGTAAAATCTTTATGCTAATCTCCATGGGAGATATAAAGATGATTAAGACCCAGTAACTGCCTGGAGAGGCTTAAAAGAAGATCAGAGAAGAGTGCTGTGGGCTTACCTGGGAAGGTCTCATGGAGGAGGTGACATTTGCCCTGGGCTTGGAAGAATAGTCAGGACTTCATGGGTCGGGGTAAGAAAGGGGAGGATTCAAGGTGAACAAGGTGGCAGGAGCAAAAGAAGGGGAGGTGGGGGAGATGGACAGATGTTTAAGGACCATAAGTAACGTGGGGCGGGGCGGGAGGGTGCGCAGCACCTTTGTAAGCCTCCGTTTCACCTCTGCAAAATAGAGATCTCAGTTCAGTTCAGTTCAGTTCAGTCGCTCAGTCGTGCCCAACTCTTTGCGACTCCATGAATCGCAGCACGCCAGGCCTCCCTGTCCATCACCAACTCCCGGAGTTTACTCAAACTCATGCCCATCGAGTCGGTGATGCCATTCAGCCATCTCATCCTGTGTCGTCCCCTTCTCCTGCCCCCAATCCCTCCCAGCATTAGGGTCTTTTCCAATGAGTCAACTCTTCACATGAGGTGGCCAAAGTATTGGAGTTTCAGCTTCAGCATCAGTCCTTCCAATGAACACCCAGGACTTATCTTCTTTAGGATGGACTGGTTGGATCTCCTTGCAGTCCAAGGGACTCTCAAGAGTCTTCTCCAACACCACAGTTCAAAAGCATCAATTTTTCAGTGCTCAACTTTCTTCATAGTCCAACTCTCACATCCATACATGACCACTGGAAAAACCATAGCCTTGACCAGACGGACCTTTGTTGGCAAAGATCTCAGTACCCACCATCAAAAGGGATTGAGCTGATGAATGAAGAGTAAATGGGAAGTTGCAGATTCACCAGGGAAGTGGGTGGTGGGGAAAGGACATTTGAGACAGAGAAGTAAATTTCTGAATGCGTGAAGGAGAAGGGTCAGTTTGGGGAACTAAGCGGTTTGGTGTTTCCAGATCCTAAGGCATCTGGGGGAAAGCAAGTGGTGGGAAATGAGCTGGAGCTGAGGGTGTCCTGTGGATGGAGACAGAAGTTAATCTCTTAGGTCTGGATTTATTCAAGTTGTTAAGACCTTATGATAGCAAGTAATAATGCTTCTCATGTGGAAAATGAATTGTAATATAATGAGAAATACTTATTTGGTTTTTGTCCCTAGTTCTTGACATAGAAATTCTAAAACTCTCGGCATTTCCTGAGTGATAGGAGGATCTTTATTATTCATAACAAGATCCTTTCGTCCATACCTGAGTTAATGCTAATAAGGTGAGTCTTGGTGGGCCTCTAGACGCTTCAGGGTGGAGGATTGTTGCCAGAAGAGCCAACCACGTGATTAGAGGGTTAGAATTCAGTCCCATTCCTCGAACTCTGGGGAGGGGAGAGGAACATTGAGGTCGATGTCAGTTGCCAATGGCCAATGATTTAATCATTCATGCCTACATAATGGAAATTCCAATTTTAAAAAAAAAACACTAAATGATAGTATTTGGAGAGCTTCTGGGCTGGTGAACACATCGAGGTGCCAGGAGGGTGATGTGCCAGAGAGTGTGGAAGCTCCACACCCTCCTCCATTTACTCTTTGTCCCTCTCATTTGACTGTTCCTGAGATGTGGCCTTTATAATACACTGGTAATAGTAAGTGAACTGCTTTCCTGAGTTCTGTGAGCCAAACCAGCAAATTAACAAACCTAAAGAGGGAATCACCTATACATATCTCATTTCCACATAAGGGCACATTTTGAGGTTCCTAGACAGCATATTAAAAAGCAGAGACATCACTTTGCCACCAAAGATTTGATGCTTTGAAATTGTGGCACTGGAGAAGACTCTTGAGAGTCCCTTGGACAACAAAGAGATTAAACCAGTCAATCCTAAAGGAAATCAGCCCTGAATATTTATTGGAAGGACTGATGCTGAAGCTGAAGCTCCAACACTTTGGCCACCTGATGCGAAGAACTGACTCATTGGAAAAGACCCTGATATTGGGAAAGATTGAAAGCAGGAGAAGAAGGGGATGACAGAGGATGAGATGGTTGGATGGCATCACTGACTCAATGGACATGAGTTTGAACAAACTCTGGGAGATAGCGAAGGACAGGGAAGCCTGGCATGCTGAAGTCCATGGGGTCACAAAGAGTCAGACACGACTGAGTGACTCAACAACAACTAAGGTTCCAGATGGATATGAATTTTGGAGGGGAGGCTATTCGACTCACTATATAAATATAACATTTTAGTATTGATCATAACTGTTATGAAATTTTATATTATTGAATTACATACAGATAATATTTGTTAATGTAAATCAATAACATCCCTTTAAGACTGACCTTAGTCTTGTTTTTAATGTTGGCTCTCAATCGATCATCTGCTGAATGAGTAGTTTAATTAACTGAGTGAATCAAGATCTCTGTAGCCCCCAAATTTCATCCAGTAGTTCACACAAGGCAGAATCCATGAATTGATAGCTAATGTCAAAGCATTAAAAACAAAATGCAGAACAAAACAACTAATAAATCAATCAAAGGAAAAAAATCTCCCACAACGACAATAAACTTTAAGCAATAAAGGAGCATTCTTTCAAGGTTGTGGAAAACACCAAAATCACATTTCTGTATTCAAGGATGATGAAATTATGGGTGACTCTTCTATGTTCTGTAGAGATGTGTAGTCAGGTGAATGGATATTCCTAATGTAATAACTTGAAAAATTTAGATCTCCAAGCATGATGCTTTCATCACAGTCTGGAGAAAGTCAGACCCATTAAATAAAATACTTTGCTATCTGATGGGAGCAAACTGGTGAGGCTTGCTTTGCATGTTTCGACCATGCCAATTTCAAGTGAGAACACCTAAAACATTACTATTAACATAACCACCAATTAGAAATCTACACATGAAAGTAAATTGCAGTTCACTTGTTGAAACCCTCAATTACTAATTGCAGTGTTAAAATCAAGGTAGGTAAGATGGTGAATGTGCTTAGGGGGTGGGGTACTAACTGAGAATTCTTGTAAAACTGAGGTTGAGAGAGCAACATGGGGGCTTTTTTTCATTCATAAGGGAAAAGCAATAAGAATCAAAGAATCTAGAAGGGAACTCCTCACCCATTCCCCACCTTTAACCAATGAGGAAGATGGGCTTAGATTTCCTGACTCTGGATTCACTTTTCACCACATTGTCCTTTATAAGCTAGAGGAGTTACCAAGACAAACCAAATAGACAATGAAAATAAAAAGAAACCAACCATGAAAATACCCTGCTGTCAAAATTTCAGCAAATGGCTTAGAGAAATATTAAGTGGTATGTGTGAGTGTGTGTGTGTGAGTGTATTTGAGAGAGAATGTATACATACTTCACATAACATAGTTTCAATTTTTAATAAATAGTATTCAAATGTTTAGGTACATAGCATGCATGTAAGAAAAAATAGAACTGTTAACTACTGACTCCTCAAACAAAATCTGTGTGACACAATTTACTTATTCTTAAGGTTCTGGAGAGTAGTGTACATATTTTGATATTTGGGCTTAACAAATTCAACGTAAAATCAGAACTCCACTTGAAATTTGGCTGAAGGAAATGGTCTGACAAATTGCCCCTTTAGTTTTAAATAGAAACACTATAAAACTGGTTCCCAACCTTTTGACACCAGGGACCAATTACATGGAAGACAGTTTATCCATGGACCAGAGTGTGACTGTGTGTGTCTGGGGTGGGGGTGGGGGGGCAGGTTTCGGGATGACTCAAGTGCATTACATTTATTGTGCACCTTATTTCAATTATTATTACAGCAGTTCTACCTCAGTTAATCAGGCATTAGATTCCAGAATTTGGGGACCCTTGCTATAAAACACAGGTTGATCTGAACACCAGGTCCTGTGAAAATGGATCTACTGCGGTCATGGACAACAAAGGGTTCTGGTAAAGACACCAGTAAAAAAGGAGCAACCACTCTTGGATATCAGATTCAATGATCACTTAAATGTCAACTTTTTGATGACCATCTTTACCAGGCTAACCCAGAAGGTAAGCTCTGCAAGAGCAGGACTCCACTGCTTAGGGTGGAGTCTGGTACAGAACAAGTGCTTAAATGTGTTTGTTAAATTGACTTCTCAAATCTCTGTCTCTTGCACGAACCAGTTTAACCAGCTTCAGACCTAATTTTCTAACCATATCTTCTGAACACCTCAACGTGCACATTCCTTTCACATTTCAAAGTGGACACAACCTGACACCAAAATGCATTATTCTTCCCCAAGTGTTGTTTTCTTTATGTTCCTTAGATTGGCATCACTGTCATACGATACCAAGTCCAGATAAATCAGCCTCTTAAGTATCTCCAGACATCTCTTTCTCACTATCCCTTCTGAGCTAGCTTAAGTAATTATAATCTTTTAATTTTTAGAATTGCTTCCAATCTTACCCCTGTCTCCAAAACCCTCAAAAATATTTTTTCCCCTAAAACACAAATCAATCACAATTGCTTGCAAGAAAGAATCTAAATTCCATAGTATCTACAAAGGTTTCCTCTGTGCTTACTCCTCTAGCCTGATTTATCAATACCTCTAAATCCCTAAACTTGTCATTCAGAACTACAATTCCCAGAGCATTCCAGATGCTCTCACATCCTTGGAAGCTTATTCTCTCTGCCTAGAAAGCACTCCTCGCTCCTAATTATCCTCTCCTTTGGCAGATCCCTATTTGTCCTTCAAAATTCAAGTCCTTTCAAGCCTCTGACCATCACCCTTGGACACTAGGAGTTTCCTCTTTCACAGATTCTCTGATTTCCACTGAGTCTTTACCACGTTGCTGAGCACTTTCAAGGTAAAGACTTTTCTCTTTTTAGTCTTTCAGCAAGCAACAGTACCTCTTCATAGTTTTTTTGTTAAGTGATTGAAGGAATAAATGCTAAAGAGCATCTGCTGCTGCTAAGTCGCTTCAGTCGTGTCGGACTCTGTGCGACCCCATAGACGGCAGCCCACCAGGCTCCTCTGTCCACAGGATTCTCCAGGCAAGAATACTGGAGTGGGTTTGCCATTTCCTTTTCCAGCTAAAGAGCATCATTCCTGGTCAATACCACTCTTTACAGATGGGAAACTGAGACCCAGAAAGGCGACATAATTTGACAAAATAAAGCTGAGAGAAAGGGCCTGGCATTCCAGGCTTTCGGCTCTGACTTTATCCCCATATTAACAAGCCCCGTTTAGTGATCAGAGATCTATCTTTGATTACATTCAAGACCAGTCTCCACTTTACCTCAACCCTCACTGTGTTGCGGTCAAATCCTCCTCCCTCCCCTCCCCCACGCCCTCCTCTGGCGTTTCCCGAAGGAACAGCCAACATCCTCTTTCTGCTTTCAGCTGTGGCCTGGAACTGCAGGGTTTCTCTCCCTCTCCCCACGCCCCTCACAGGGACGACAGTTTGTATCCGGAAACGGCAGCGCCCTCAATACATTGAAATCTCAGTTGGATTTAGGATTGGGAGGGGCTCTTAACAGATCAGGATAAAACTCAGGGCAACTCGGAGCAACACTCCAGGATGCTTCGAGAAGTGACTGATTCACCTCTCGTGCTAATCTGGACAAATAGGGTTTATTGTTGTCGCTGAGGGGCCAGACAAAAGGACGTGCCCCGTGACCAAGCCATTTTCTGTGAGAAGAGCGACTTGGCCGCCAGACTCGTGGGACCCCAGGCGGAGGCAGGAGACCAGTCCCTTGATCGAGACGCACGCAGGTCTCGTGCTCCCAGAGGCCTGGAGGCGGGGCGGGGCCTCAAGCCACGCCCCTCCCCCCGCCTCCTCCAAAACAGGCCGCGCCGATTGGTTCCTTCGAAACAGGCCGCGGCGAACCCTGAGCCCGAGGCTGCCGCGGCGGCGGTTGGGCAGGGGCGTGCCGGCCCGGCACAGATTGAGCGCGATGTTGCCCAGCAGGGAGAAGTGACCCTCCTGCGCCTGTGCGGGTGAGTACTTCTTTGTTTGCCGTTCTCTTTTCCTCGCGAACTCTTACTCGCCTTCTTGGGGCTGCGGCGCCTCAGCTGGCACTGAAAGAGGTCCCGCGCTCAGCCCACTCAAAGGGTTGGTTCAGTAGGGGCTCCGAGCTGCGGGATTCAAGTTGATGTGCGATTGGTCCGCTGCGGGAGTCGCGGGCGCTGATTGGTCCCTGGGGCCGTCAAGATGAAGCAAGTCCCTGCCTTCTGCTGCCCACCCAGGTTTGGTGCAGGGGCCACAGGTGTGCTGGGGCGGCAGGTGTGCTAGGCGGGGGATGAGGTAATCACTCGCTGCCGCTCTGCTTTAGTATCCAGGAAGAGGTCAGAGTCTGAAATTTAGCCTCTTCAGAGGCACCTTTGTTTCCAAGAGCCTAGCTCACATAGGGTCACTTGATTCCTCGGTGTCACCCCTGGGAAGAACTGATGTAATCACTGACCTTGGAAGGGAAATTGCAGATAGTTATTTTGCCATCTGGCAGAGGGAAAAGTTTGTTCTCTGTTCCCTCCAGTCCACGCGAGGCTCTTGTCGCCGAGATGAACGGAAAGAGGGGACGTACCTCAAGGCTGTGAGCGCTGCTTTCCCCACCCGCACGTTTCGCTTTGAAGGGCTGCGTTGCGGGAAGGTTTGTAGATTGCCTTGGAAGTCGAAGGAAAATTTTGGAGCCTGTGCTTGCCATTCAGTCGCTCCTGGTTTCTAACTAATCTCTTCGAACCGCAGGATTGAGTCTTACTGATTTAGAGTGCTTCGTGGAACGTGTTAGAGAAGTTGGTCAGTCCTTATTAAGTAAAAAGATGTTTCTTTCCCGGACCAGTCTCGGTCAGTTTAGCTTCGTTTGTGTGAAGAGTGTTAATACCTACTCAGAAGATAAGCATGTTGTGAACTGCTGTTTGATCTCCTCAGTTGGCACTTAATTAGGAATTGGCCTTCTCGCCACCTCAGATTCCCTTTAGGAGGAGATTGAAATGGATTTGAATGAAGAAGTGGAAACTGGTAGTAGTCATCTGGTGTAGATCCTGATACGTGTCTGTCTGACTCATCTGTTTCAAAACCTCATTAAAAACCAACGGACTTTGCGTGGTAGGTGTGTCCGCTATTTCCACATTAATGAATTATAAGTAATGTTTCTTTTTATGTGTTTCTAAGTGTGGGGGCTCCGAAGTCACACTTTACTATGTGTGTGACCTTTGGCAAGTTATTTAATCTTTCTAAGTCTATATTTCCTACTGTGTAAACAAAGATTAATAATAAATAGTTGCTACCTTATTGCTGTGATGGTTGTGAAGATCAAATGAAATAATCCATGTAACTAGTTTAGTACATTGCCTGACACATAACTAGCATTATTTCTGTGCTGCTGGGCAGAGAGGAGCAAAAGGTGAAGACAGTACCAGAGCTAGTGGTATTAATACTTATCATTCATTGATTGAGTTTGTACATGTAAAGTACTCATTACTGTTTATCAGTATGAGGTGGTTGGGTGGCATCACTGACTCAATGGACATGAGTTTGCGCAAACTTAGGGAGGCAGTGTAGTGTAGGATGGGGAAGCCTGGCTGGCTGCAGTCCATGGGGTCGTAAAGAGATGGACATGACTGAGGGACTGAACAACAGCAAGAACTGTTTCTCAAACGCATTATTACCTAGCGTGTACCGGGTACTGTTCTAGACGCTTTACTTATATATTGTTAAGCCTGTTAGTAATCCTGCAGTGTCATAGATGAGGAAACTGAAGCTCAGAAAGAAATGAAGCTACTGAGGTTCACCCAGAATTCAGGCTAGACTGTCTCACTCCAATGTCCAGCCTCTTTTTTTAATCACACTACTCTTGCATTTATATATCCAGAATTAAGCTTCTTTGCACAGTTGTTTGTATGGCCCAGGTTCATTTTCCCATGGGTTTCGGTTTATTTTGACTATTTCATTAAAAAATAGTGGTAAGTAATTTGTGATGGTGAATCAAAATGTGTGATAAAGGAATAATGTCAACAATATACTGCTATTACTAAAAAACTAAATGAGTCCAATGATGTTTGGAGAATTGGTCAGTTCAAAAGTAATGTTTCCTAATTTATATTTTGCCATTCAGTTTTTGCGTATTTACTGTACTTTTTACTAAGCAGCAGTCTTTTTTTTTTTTCCTGTCAATTTCAATTTAAGTTTGGGAATAGTGAAAGTTCAGTTATTTCAGTAATTGTTTTTCCAAGCTGACTGTTGTGAGGAAAGGTAAGGGGTTAAGGTTAATGTTATATTTTACTTTCTTACACTAAACTTGCTGTATATGTTTCTGTGTGTGTGTGTTTTACTTTCTTCCTATTATTGGTTTCTCCCTCTACTTTGTTATTTTTGAATCTTTAATAAAACTTGCAGTGTACATAGTATTTGAGAGAATAGGAAACGAGTCTGTCAGTCAATTGTCTCACTTTGAATTTCCCTATTTTAATTGAAATTTAACTACCATAGAGAAATGCCTCAGAAGTAATGTTTACAAGATGCAGGCAATAATTATAATTGTTATCTTTTCAGTGTTTCTCCTAAAAACACAAAAAGTTTTCTCATATTATTACATTGTTAACAAAATAGGGGTTTTTAACAGAAAGTTGCTATGTATCTCATCAATGAATTACCAATTTTCAAAGAGCTAGAATGTAATGAAATGTAGCAGATACACAAATGCAGTTTCATGTTTACTGCTGAAAGGGTCTTTTACAATATTATGACCATCAGTCATATGTCAGGTATTGCTGAGGTGCTGACTGGTAGAGATTTCTGCCTCCTCTCACAAAAATAAACTTTTCTGTAAGAAAGTATAAGCTATGGTGAAGGGCTCACTTTACATAGAATTTTAAACATTATGACTTTTGTTTTCCTTTGATGGATGACTTGTTAAATAAAATTGGCTGTTGACAAAACTGCTTGACTTTGTTCAGGAATTTTTTTCTCTCACCCTCACACAGTTTAGAAAGCACTGTGGCCAGAGTCACGTAATTAAATGCTGTCCTACCGGTTGCCTTTGGATGCGTGACGTACGATGGGCATCTTTTCACAGCAATACACACAGTGCCTATTCTTTCAAGTGCTGAATGAGTCCACTCTGTGAATGTCCTGTATGTTATTTTAGAGGTTTCCTGTTCATAGACATTTAATGTTGTTTCTACATTTCTTTATGTTAGTGTGTATATATATATATGTTTTCCATTAGGGCTTCCCTGGTGACTCAGATGGTAAAGAGTCTGCCTGCAGTGTGGGAGACCTGGGTTTGATCCCTGGAGAAGGAGATGGCAACCCACTCCAGTATTCTTGCCTGGGAAATCCCATGGATGGAGGGGTCTGACAGGTTACAGTCCATGGGATTGTGAAAGGTCACACACGACTGAGCGACTTCACTTTTCACTTTGATGTTTTCCATTGATTCTTTTAGTCTATCATATATAATATATATCTATTGTATATATATCTATATGTAATATATACATACATATCTATACATAATATATATCTATACATGTATCTATCATATCATATATAAAGGCAAACTGATTTTAAGTTGTTGTTTTTTTTTTAAACATTTCTTGGCTCCTTCGTCTCGAAACCAGCAGCGCGACCATCTCTCTCCACCTCTCTTCTCACATACCCTTCTCTGCCTCTGACCTTTCTGCCTCCCACAGATAACAATTTTTGTTATTACAATGGGCTGACTGGATAACCTCCCATTTTCTTAGGCCCTTGATTTACTCAATCAGCAGGGTCCATTTTGCTCATGAAAACAGTATATTCACAGGTTTGGGGGTTATTACATAGACGTCTTTGGGGTTCATTGTCCTGTCTACTGCAAATGGAGTTTATTTAAGAGATGTAATAAAAATGTACTTACCCAGTAGGACGGCCGTATGAATCCCTGAGCAGTGTGTTGACCCCGGAGTCCTTGCCTGTTGGCACAGCTCTTCTGTCTTGTTCGTTTGGTTCCTCTGCTAAATGTACACCGGGTTTAGTCTTTTTTTTTTTTTCCCCCAGTGATTTTTACATCAGGTAGCTCACTTGACCTGCTGGTACCTTAACTAGTACTACTTCACATGTTTCACCTTGGACATGTGTGATGGGAGGCAAGATTATTTATCAATTCAGGTCCCATAATAAAAATGAAAAATAATAAATAATACCCCCCAAAGTTTCCTGTTAGATACTTGTTTGCTATGTGTCAGCTTCCAAGACTTGTACCACATTTTACCTATCTGGTTTTTCCTAGAGATGTTCACACATCCATCTTCTACCTCAAGTGTTTCCCTAAACTTTCAGCTTGAATACCTCTCTCAACACTACTTCCAATAGCAATCTTGTAATAGACTTGCTTTCCTGGTGGTTCACATGGTAAAGAATCTGCCTACGGTGCAGGAGACCAAGGTTCAATCGCCAGGCGTCTGGGAGATCCCCTGGAGAAGGAAGTGGCTACCAACTCCAGTTCTTGCCTGCAGAATTCCATGGACAGAATTCAGTCCATAGGGTCACAACTTGGTCAAGCAATGTGCAGAAATAATGAATAAATAGTATAAAGCACTGTATAAATAGGGAATTGGGAGAAATGCTAGATGAATTCAAGAGGTGTACATATAAGCAGAATTAATTTAGGCCAATCAGGAAGGGCTCCTGGGAGAAGGTAAATCAGAAGAGTTGTAAACCTGGAATAATCTAGATGAGGACGCTGTCCCTCTTGTTAACTCTTTCTCTCCTGTCTAAATATTGG